TCGAATATTACTCAAGGAAGGAAATTTTCCATTTAATACTTTGTTTTTTTCAAGGGAAATAGAGAAGAAAGAAATAGGGTAGACACTAGACAGGACCAATACTTTCTTGTTTGAAAAGGAGACTAGTAGTCTAGTAGAAAGAGAGTAACCTCACCATTGTTTTCTAACAATAATGTTCCTTGTATGCTATTTTAACTTATGTCATTAGAAAACACTTACCTTTCTTTTTCGATTAAATGCCCCTCATAACTAACCATAAACAAAATCAATCTATTCTAATGTTTTTTATTTCTTCTCGTAGTTTTTCAATTCTCACTCTCTCCTCTATATCTGTTCTCGACCAAACAAACCATCACAGAAAAAGTAGCGAATTTACACACTCGTCTTACAGTCATTTACTATATTACCTACCTATCATGCACTGCAGTTCCTATGACTATTTAATAGGACGGTACTGTAAGCACTCATATTTTTGTTAGGTGTTGATGGGCAGCATTATAAATGCAGATGGGAAAGTGGAACACTGTTTACACTCCTTCTGGGTGGCCTTTGCTTCTTTGGAAGGTTTTGTTACCTCGGCTCGTTTTCTGTTTGCAGTGCCCTTGCTTAATGATTCCTCTCAAAGTTGATTCAATAATATATTTTGCTCATGAAGGGGAGACTTAGCGCACAGGTTATGGTGTTGTTGTGTGATCAATAGGTCATGGGTTCAAGTCTTGGGAGTGACCTTTTGTCAATATGACAAGGGAAGACTTTTCTCTTATACACCCTTTTAGTGAGACCCTTCCCCGGACCCTCGCCTTGCAGGGATGCCAATGTGCACCGAGCTGCCCTTTTTACCATCTTCTGCTCATGAAATTTGTTTCTTGAAGCTGTCCTATTATGTTCTTCCTTTTGATTAATGAAGAGGGTCTTTTAGACTGTAGACTTATTCCTCTTCTTATTTTACTTCACCAAACCGGTGGTTTGTGCTTAATGTCAACACATTTTTTCTATTCATTTAGATGTTAGAAAAATACAATATTCAATTAAGAAATGCCAAAAAGGGAACAAGTTAATAGCCCTTTGCAGTATTATATTTTGTTATTCTCAAATTCTCATGGAAAAACTTTCCTGTATCTTTATTCTCCTCTGGTGGAGATGTGAACATGGGATTCCTTGATTTTTTCCATGAAAAGTTATCCTGTCCCCAAAGTAAGGCATTATGTTTAAAGCACTACCATGCATTTGCTATAATGAACTGAATATGAGTACTTTACCTCTTTTATACTTCAGCATTCTGTCGGTTAACTTCTTGTGCTGCTTCTGTTGCATAATTCCACAAACTGTGATGTAACTTCCTATTTCAATTTTACATCAGCCAGAGAGTCGTTGGAGCGGTTAATGGTACACTGGTCCTCGGAATAGTCATCTCTTTCATAGCTCTTGTGGTAACTCCAATTATCGATTAGCTAAAATTCTTTGTACATTACAACTTTGGACACATCGTTTGGAGCATATGTGGAATGTATTGTGGAAGTGCAATCACATGTAAAAAAGTTTATATGTTAATGTTTTGTAAAACTCCAAAGATTCTTACCGATACCCCATGAAAATAAATTTCTTATTAATAGATGCACTTGATTGCTAGTTGTTGCACACTTGCACATAACTTTCTATAAATGGTATAGAGAGAAACCTCACTCCCTGTGATCTTCTTTAGATTGTTGCTAGTGAAGAACTGCACTGGGAGGCTCTTTTGAAAGCTAACTTTGAAGCTGCACCTCAAAGTATACCCATAATAGCTCTTTCTTTTGTCTATCATGTGAGAAAGTTAAACATGTGAAAACACACTGTTCCTACAAATTGTCTCCGGTGTTTCAATATTATAACCAATTGCCTATTTTTTGGTTTCAGAATGTAGTCCCTGTTGTATGTACAAATCTTGAAGGAGACCTGTCAAAAGTGAGGTGATGAATCTAATGAGTATCTTGGTCATGAAATCCTATCACTGTTCTGATATTCTTTTCTCAGTCTGTAAGAATTGAGTAATAATTATAGGCATATAGTCAGGAACTTGATGAATGTGGTATGTTTTAGGGCATACAGCCCACATGTTTGACACTGTTAATTCACGGGCATTTATGGTGAATATAATCTGTTATTTCAATTCATCATAAAAAGTTTATTTAGAACTTTATATTGGGGTAATCACATAGTTTCCTACAACCGCAATAGTTGTAGGGGAGATGCAGCACGAGAAGGTTTAATAGTCACAAAGTATGGAGTGCATGATTTTTGTTCAGTAAATATTAGCTGTCAAATTAATTGGCTTAATAAATGGCCTTGTTATTTTTTTGGGTTTGTAGTGTTACCTTTTAAATCAAATTATGGTAAGGTTATAAGATACGAAGTATTAGACTACCAGTATTAGACTAACGTAATAAATTCTTCAGCTTCTGTTCTTTCTTTGATCGTTATTTGCATATACCACTATGCTCCCTATACATTAACTATTAGCAATCTGTGCATAACTTATGTAGGGTTTGTCATGATGCTATGTTGCCTATGTGTAAAGCTACATATGACATTTTATGGATTTTAGTGAATGTGAAAAAGAAAAACCACCGGTTTTCATTTTTTAGGCTATGTTAGTTTGGAGAAGTCAATATTTGTTATAGCAATCCATCTTTTTCTCAATGCTGAGGGCAATTTCTAGATAAAGATCATGTGAGGCATTATGGCATTTCTATGAACAAGGATCGCATGGATTCTACTTACTAAAATGTATTACTTCTTTTATTACATTCTTTTGCACTTGTATTTTCATGAGGATCGCAATGAGCGGTTTATGTACATCTGTGCGCGCATACCTCACAAGTGATAATGGTCACTGACTTTTTGAGTTTTTGCACACGGCTGCAGAAGATTTTTTTTAGATTTTAATTCCCTGTTGACTGGTGCACTTGTGACATTCTTGAAGATCAAATATTCAGCAAGCTGTTAAAGGTGTTAGAAATTTTTGTGATAAAAGTCACTTACTTTATAGCCCTGCAGGAATGCAATTGTTCTGGGAACAGCCATACCGCTTGCTCTCTTTCTTGTTTGGAATGGTGTTATTCTTGGAACAATATGTGATCCTGAAACAGGCTTGGACAAGATTGGTGACCCAGTGCAGCAGTTAAGATCTTCAAATGGAGTTGTTGGGGTGTGCTATTCCACTTGCGATCACTTCTAATTTCTTTGTTTACTCATTTGAATATTTTTCTTGAATGTTATAATCTACAAGAACTAACTGACTGTTTCTTCTTTGAATGCTCTAATCTACAGGCAATAGTTGATGTCTTCTCACTTTTTGCGATTGCTACTTCTTACATTGGATTTATCTTGGGCCTCACTGACTTCCTTGCTGACTGTGAGTGAACAATATTAACCAAGCTTTTCCTTCCTAAAAATGAAACGTGATGATTATTTGAGTATGAACCAGAAAAGAAAACTGGGAGATTATTTCAGCCTTTCAGGAAGGAGAGCGCGCATAGTGATGTCTTATAAAATGTGATTAAGAATATGCCTTAACCTTGGCTTCAATTTCGTGAGAAAATGTTTTCATGAGAAAATGATTTTTTTTCCAATGCCAAAACAGAAAATCTAGAAATTATTTTTCCAGGGATATGATTCAGTGGAAACAAACAGACCCTAAGTTTCTTCATGAATGGAGCAAATTCCAGTGTGATTTGCACATGCATGAATCTTTAAACACAGAGAAGTTCCTATGCTTAAAACATATTAGAATAAATTCACACTGGAATTTATTTCTTTATTTGTTCTACATCATATATTATGTCTTACATGGTCATTCACAGTGCTCAAAATCCAACGTGCGGGCAAAAACACCCCAGTGACGTATCTACTTACTCTGATTCCTCCATTGGTACTATCATTGCTCAATCCAGGGATCTTCTTCAAGGCCTTGGACTTTGCTGGGACATATGGAGGTAGGCTCACTACTACGTGTGTGAAGCACACACTGACTAAATTTGTTTTTGGTAATGCAGACCAACCATGTCATGGATGGATTCTTAGGATAATAATTATTTAACAAGTTCGAACTTGTATAGATTTTAGCTACTGAAATATACTATCAATTTCCCTGTTTAATCTTCGTATTTGACTTTTCAAGTCAAAATATGTCATCTTTGGCTACTACATTCTCATAAAATATACTTGTATAAACCAAATTGTTTTGATATACATCGTATAAAGTAATGATCGCGTTCTTGGATTCTAATTGTTTCTGTTGGGGGTGGTTATGAAGTTTTGGTGCTGTTTGGAGTCCTGCCGGCCGCAATGTGCTGGTCTGATAGATATTCAGAATCAGGCAAATCTCAGACAAACGTACCACAACTTGTTCCTGGAGGGAGGCCCTCACTATTGCTTGTGCTTGGAGGTTCAGCATTCATCATTCTCACACAAATACTCCACAGCTTTGAACATTGAACAATTTGTAAAAACATTTTGTTATGGCAAACATTCAAAAGTTTGTAGATCTTTAATGTTACTACTACAAGTGTGAGGTTTTTGTGTTGTATTACTCTAATCAATTACTCCAAGGCAGTTGCCTAATTGTGATTAAGGTTTTGGTGACATGATCAATGATGTTCCACTACTACATAGAAACACGTTTGTTTTCAACTCATTATTGTATCATTATATTCGTTTCCCCCAAGCTACTAGGATTGCTATTGACAATCTAGTTTGCACACAACCTGAAAGAATCTGGCATTTTATCAATGTGTACCACAGTGAATCAGATTCCCTCCTGAGCAAATCTCCAGCATTCATCTCCAGGAGGGTACTAGGAGAGAATGTGATATAAATAGTGTAAATGAGTGGCGAAGATATTTTGGGAGTGCAGTGGGGTAATGTGATGGGAGAACAAACAGGTAGGGGCAACAACTCTGCATGGCATTGCATAAACCCATGAAAATAAAAGTCAGCCCAAGACCCAAGTACTCTTTTCAAATGCAAAATGTGGCTGTTAATCTATTTTATAAAGAAATCAAACAGTACATAACAGTTATCAGTTACACCTCATACAAAATGACATTTTTTAACAGCTCTATTAGCTGCTCCACAAATATCATGCAGCGACTAAAAAAGAAATCATCTGTTTTCCGGGAAAAGAAAAATTGAAGAAAAGGGGGAAGAATATCCATCCTAGAATGAATGCTTGCATATCAACACAGACCCTAAAAGGATTTGATTTTCCAGTTTGGCATTCAGCATCAGGTGATTAAGAATAAAAGAAGTACAGCCCAAATAAGCCAAAGGTGCATTGTTTTGCTAATCTATAGCCATTGCTTCAGGAAGTGCACCAGTATCATCCTCCACAACCCCATTCTTATGGTCATCCATTGCTGTCCTCATCTCCTCAACCAAACTCTTTTGTTCTTCGTCTATTGTGTTTTGAAGCTCGTCAACCTGATGAAGCAAGATATGGTTCAGTCAACCGTTAATAAATACAGTTATCAGAAGAATAAAGCCCACAAAACAACAAAAGTGCTTTTTTCAGTGCACTGAAAAGAATTTTAAAGGTTACTCAAGTTAGAATTACATCATGAGTTGAGAAGTGAAAACCAATACGTTTTTCCCTGAATCTACATTTCTATACCATGTGAGACTAAAACGTCTGACCTTACTATTAATTCCCTTAACAAAATAATAACCACTTTCTAATTTTTCTAGCACACATTAAAGTTGGCTTCTTAGTGTGAGTTGAGGGGAGAGGTTTGGAGGACCATATTTTTTAGAGTGAATCCACATCTTTCTGATATACTCATATTTGAAATTTTATAATAAATGAAAGAGTAACATAACAAGGACAAAATTTGAATCTCCCTTTATAACAAACTCTTAGAGTGTGTTTGGAGGTTGGGTTTTGGAGGGGAGGGGAAAGTTGATGGGGATTTATGACCCTCGCTTCTATGTTTAGGAGTAAAAAAAATGAAGGGGATGGTTTTGGAACTTTTAAAACCTTCCATAACCCCCTCAATGCTCAATTTTTAAGTTCCCCCAGTTTGGAGGGTTTTAAAGGATAATTAACAAAATATAATTTAAATTCAATTTAAAATGGGTATTAATTCAACCATTTGAATTCGCCATATCTCAGAAGTGATTTTAATCATAATTCCTTCAAATACTCTCTTTTTCCAAATTTATTAATCCCAAATACGAAGAAGGGTTTTATCAACTTCACCTTCACCTCCCCCTCCCCTACAACAACTTACTTTTAAAGCATTCCCCCCCCCCCTCCCCCCCCCCCCCAAACTCCCAAACATAGCCTTAGAGTTCACCGACATGGTATGTTTAGAATATTGAATCATTAGCAAAATCCTATCATCGAAAAAAGTGATCCATATTATGAAATGGGAGATATATGCAATCAGGACTATGAATACTATCATCCCAAAAATGTGGAAGCAACAAATGCAATTGAGTAATTCAACTTTGACCTCACCTTCAGAAAAACAATGCATTTCAAGAGCTAGCTTGCTATTTATCTACAACAAGGTATACCTATTGGCATTTTCCCTATGCCCCTCAAACTTGCAGCATGTAGTTTCCTATAATATCTTGTGTGAGACAACTTGTTCAATTGATATTCCACAAAGACAATAAACGGAACTGAATGTGAGTAACCCCCCCCCCCCCCCCCCCCCCCCCCCGAAAAATGGCAAGAACTACCCATACCTATGTCTACTACATAGTTCATGCACCAAAAGCACAATGAGAACTAACTTAATTCCATTTGGTGTAGGGGGGACACATACCACATGTAGCAAAAGAGTGAATTGCTTTTTGCGCAGCTCCAACGTTCTCGAACTAGCAGTGTTTTCTGCCTCTAATGCTAAAATTTCCTTCTCTAGTTCCGTGATAACATTTTGGGTCACTGATCTGGCTGGCTGCATTGCAATCAATTTCCTAATTGCCTCACACTCCTCCTTGTGCTTCCTCTCTATCTTGCTCTCTTCCAGTTGTTTCTTCAAATCTTCTATGTCAGTTTGGGTCTGTATAATTTGCCTTTTAATTTCATCATTCAAGTCATTGAAATTCTCCTTCTCTCTAACATTTGCTTCGATGACAGTTTTGCTTTTCAGGAGCGGAATCTCAAAAGTGTTTAGTTCCTGCAAGAAACTCTTGGCAAGTCTTTCACAGTCAGCCAAGTTATCGGCTTCCTTCTGTACCTCTAATGCAAAAGCAGTAAACTTCTTTTGAAGTTTCTTTAGTGGAGGTTCGCCTCTTGTGGTTGTAGTGCGGGTCAGAAGTCTGTGTTTTATGATCAAGTCATCTTCATGTTGGCCAAAAGCATAGTGTGCACCCACAGTCTCCCCCTTGCCAGCAACTTTCCTACCTTTACCCAACATTTTATATGTATGTGCGTACCCCTTCAATAGCAAAGCAGCTGTTAGACATCTACCATTTCAACACGGTCATTGGATTATCCCATGGAATGTTATCACATGCATACATGATACATCATACACTATAGCACTCAAATACTCAAGGTGTTTTCTATGTCTCTAAATGAAAATTCAAATAAAAGATGATCACAAAATATCAAAAAAAGATCATATTACCCAAAAAACAAAGTTCTTTGACACCTGAATGGCTTAATTCATAGTAAATAAGTAAATAACTTCAAGAACAATCACAGAGCTGTCAACTTTACATTCGGTTCTCAATTCTCGTAATATCGATTTTAAGCACAATAAGTACATCTTCCTGCACTCTATCAGAAATACACACCTCTTCAACTCTATATACAAAGATCTTTTTTAAACACTACTCCGTACTCCTTCATTTTTATACACAATTTAAACGACCTCCATCAGCAACACTCACCTTTACCAGGATATGCGACTTCTTCTCGAGTCAACTAGAAATGTCTACTTAATTACCGCAACACTTTGTACAACAAAGAAACCACATTTATGTTCAGGACAATAAATGTTGTCAATAAGCCGACTAAATTTCTTTTAGACGCTATATATAGATCATGATGCATCCAAATCCATAAATTAAAAGCATGAATCGAGCAAGGGTTAGTAAAACTAGCAGAATTGAGTACATAACTACATAACATGCTTGAAAAGGATTAGTTAAAGCCTGAAAGGCAAGTATCGAATCAATAGCTCAGATTCCTAAGAGAAGCAAGATTAGCGGAAACGAATGCATGGCAATACCTTATAAATTAAAGGCTTGAGCCAATTGGATGTTTACCCTGGGCCAACTATACACTAAAAACATTATATAAAAATTTTTGGCAAAAAAAAACATTATATAAAAAATTTAAAAGCGTAAATAGTGTGAACATAATGATTAAAATCCATAAAAATTCATAATAATATTTTTAAATAGTACATACAATATTTGAAACTAAAACGTTAACTGAACACGATGTTCTTTGACCTTAGCAGACTCAACGTTGATTTTGTTAGCAAATTCTTTTTCAATAAAGATGGTCAAACAATCGGCAAGAAATTCATCATTCACCTTATGTCATTATGTGTTGTTGGAGAGTATTCCAACCAATTAAATTCATTGCACCAACTAACTTGAAAACGACGCATCTTATCTTTGTATTCTCGGCCTTTGTGAAAGTTCAATTTCGGTTGATAAGGTCCAAGCTTCAAATAATCGCCTAATTTCATCTCTTTTCCCTATAGGCCAATCACTTATTGTTTTCCATTTTCCCTGATCCCTCTCAATTACAAGGCCAATTACTTCCTCTTGAGCGGATGGGATATTAGGAGTTTCAATTGAGACATCTCTTGCTGTTTGGTGTGCTTGAATTGAACTAGGCTTATAAGTTATAAAACGAGTGCCTTTTTGGAAGTAGATTGAGTAGCCGCACCTACTAAAATTAGCAAAAAAATGAAAAAATAATCAATATTTTATTTTAATTCATTTAATTCATATTAATGTTTAAGAAATTGACAAATCACATTTCATTTCACAATTCAAAGCACACAAATCAATTGTGACACTAAGTCACTAACACAAACTAAAATAACAAATACGGAGTAAAATACTAAAATTAAACTAAAAATTGTAAAAACAAAAAAAATGAAACATTTACCTTGGCAGTTGGCAGCGTGACTGTGTGGAGACTTTGAGTTCTCGAAAGAACTGGAGAAGCAGGTCAGCAGTCAAGCAGGAAGAGCAGGAACGTAGCTACGCAGGGATAGCGGCGGAGCGGGGGAGGGGGGCGTCCGGCGATTCGGCGGTGCGAGCGGTCTGCTGCGATTGGCGATGGGATGCGTGAAGCGTCCGTCTCTGACTTGGCGAAGCGATGCGTGAAACGTCCGTCTGCTGCGTTCTGTTCTTTAGCTTTGCACTATACTGTTTATTTGCACTGGGCCAGAATGTTTCTACACTGGTCCAGTCTTTTTTTTGCACGAGACCAATTCTAAATATTTTTTAAAAATCAATCAATTAATCAATTATTAATATATATAAAACAGAAACTTTGCATACTGCCACATAATTTTGTCATGTCATCATCTATAACAATTACTCTATATTCAATTACTTTTGAAAAAATAGACAAGAATAATCTCATCTTTCATTGATCTTTTCATAATATTGCCACATTTACATAATCCCAGAATAATCACACATTTGCACCACACCTTCTTTCATTTGACCCTGAGCTGTTGATGACCTACTATACCATGTTTTTATCCTTTCTTTGAAAATCTTATATAAATAATCTCACCTTTATAAAGATATAATAAAAAAGTGGAAGGTTAGATTATTTATATAAATTTCAAAGAAAGGGTAAAAAAACCTGGTGTAGTAGGTCATCAACAAGTTAGAGTCCAATGAAAGAAGATGGAGTGTAAAGGTGAGGTTATTCTGGGATTACGTAAATGTGGGATTATTATGAGAAGACCAGTGAAAGGTGAAATAATTTTTGTCAATTTTCCCATTACTTTTTATTGCATATTGATATGGAAACAAAAGATTGTAGAATAGAATCCACCTTATTCAACAACTTTTTGAGAACCTATTACTTACTCGTATTAATTTGGATAGTTATTAAATTGGAACCACAACAATTAATAGCCTTTTATATTAAAGAAAAACTTTTTAAGAGCATACGGCGTGCCACATAATTTTGCCATGGCATCATCTATAACAATTATTCAATTACTTTTAAGAAATAATTACATATATATGATCAAAATAAAGATGATTTACAAAAATATGATTCATTACTAGAGTAGTAATGAAATCATAGTAATTCATGTTCAAGTTTTGAATTTTAGTTACAACAGCACTACGTTGTAGTAATGAATAGTCATATTTATGTAAATAAGTTTTATTTTAGTAATATTCTCGTAAAAAACCACTTTTAATACCTTTTATATTTTTATTACATTCTATTTTTATTGCATACTGATATGGAAACAAAAGATTGTAGAATAAAATTCACTTTATTTGGTAACTTTTTGAGAACCTATTACTTACTCGTATTAATTTGGATAGTTATTAAATTGGAATCACAACGATTAATAGCCTTATATATATGTATAAAAGAGGATCTTCTTAAGAGCGTATGGCATGCCACATAATTTTGTCATGTCATCATTTATAACAATTATTCAATTACTTTTTATACCTTTTATATTTTTATTACATTCTATTTTTATTGCAGATTGATATGGAAACAAAAGATTGTAGAATAGAATCCACCTTATTTGGTAACTTTTTGAGAACATATTACTTACTCGTATTAACTTGGATAGTTAATTATTAAATTGGAACCACAACAATTAATAGTCATCCGTACACAGAGTATATTTTATATCAATTATTTAATTATTTTTCATACCTAACACATAAATCATCCAAATTTCTATTAATTTTGTTCTTCAAAGTTACTCCGTATTTTATAAAAATAAAAATGTAATAATAGTGTTCCATTTCCTAAAATGTAATATTTTATTTTTCTAAACTTAGTGTTTTTTTGAATGTTTCCTAAACTCATTGCGATAATGACTAAAATTATATATAAGCCTTAGATTTGCTCGTTTGCAATTGGGTTAATACTTTGAACTTTTCTTGCATCTTTATACCATTCTTTCTTAGTGGTTGAGATAATGATGAAAATTATAACCACAAGATTGTTTAACTTAACAAAATGAAATTGATATATATTATTGGACGATCATATATGAAACATTTAAAACTTCTGATCAAGAAGCTTACCTTTATTAGGATGGAAATTCATATCATACAAATATGGTATGAATATGAGTTTAAATATAGGTTCAAATATGGTTTTAGTCACTGCAAATATGGAACACTTTGTTTTAGGTCCCTGCAAAATATTTTCTTTGTTTATCATCCCTATAATATGCACCATTTTGGTTTTAGTCCATCTCTAACTCCAATACTACTCTAATTCGAATTTTTTTTATTATCAGTTGCATAAATCTGCTAGAAACATTCAAACTCATCAGTTTATAATTTTTTTGAGATTAATAAGAGAGTTAAAACAATATTCAAACTAATTTATTTGCATTTTTTAAATATGTATTAAAACCTTTTGAACAATGAAATTAAATACTTTTTGAATGGCATGACAAAGAATTAAAGGATACCTATTAGTCGGGTTCTTTCGTTGTCAAGCAGAGGTTGTTATCATTAGTCATGGACTAAAACAAAAACCAACTTAAATTTCAGGGGTGAAAAACAAAGAAAATATTTTGCAGGGACCTAAATCAAAGAGTGATGTATTTGGAGGGACTAAAAACATATTTAAATTATCAAAAGTAAATAAGTTTAGCCTCGCCAAAAAAGTAAATATGTTTAGTTGCTTCTTTATTTTTAGGATGTTTTTACTTGGGCTCTTTTCAGTCCCAGATCAGACTAGATCAGACTTAAACAGATCATACCAAACTTGACTTCCGTAGTTATAGAATACACGGTCCAAGACCAAACTTAAAAAAACCAGACCAGACCAAACTATACTTAGACAGATCAGACCACCAAATTACAGTCCAAGTAAAAACATCCTTACAACTACAATTTAATTATTACTTCACTTTTTAAATAGATTCCTAATCCAAATTAGGAAATCTTCATACATTTAGGATGTTTTTAATTGGACCGATTTCAATCCCAAATAAGATCGGATCAAACATCAATAATAATAATTATAATAATAACAATTATTATTATTATACACTCATAAAATATACATCTTCTAGACCGTATTATACTAATTACTTCATACCGAAATAGAACTTAAAATGTCAATCCAATTAAAAATATCTTTATTAATGACGTTTTCAATGTAACGAAATAATGAGTAGATTGTGAAAATGATACTACATACATTTTTTTTACATTTTCAATGTTAGGAAATAATGAGTAAAATGTAAGATCTCACTAATAAAATTTACAAACTACTTATTTCATACCAAGTTGAATGAGAAATATTAAAAAAAAAGGTGTATCGAGATGCTCAATAAATAAAGTAATATAAAGGATGAGAGGGTGCCGGGATGATCGTTCTTCGGGTTCACTAAGCTAGTCCGGCGAACAGGTGGGCGCTAACACTCTAGGGATCTCCGCGCGCCCACTCTTTTTTATGTTGCTGCTCATTTTTTCCTTTTTGAATTAATTTTAATAAAATAAGATAAATTTGTTATAAATGGAAGGAAATAAGCCGTAGATCAAGCAGAGAAAGCATAATATGAACAATTAGTGATAAAGATGTTATTAATGGCGTATTAGAAGTGTGATAGACGTGTAATACATGAAAAGGAAAAGACTCTCGATAAAAGTGTTAAGCTCATTTGGATTAGAAGATAATCGTGAGCCACGCAATTGTCATACCCAGAATCATAACTATGATTTTCTGTTTAATTTGATAATGATGATAATAATTATCCTAATCATGAATAGTTGGAAGATGGATAATTCAACTATATTTTAACTTTCTTCTTTGAATGGTCATCTTCTAATTATTCCGGAGTATTGGTTGTCTTGTTAAAAAACTTACTATGGTTTTCACAATGTGGTGGAAATCGAAAAAAGAGTACAACATTTGATTTCATGGTATTATAATGTATTGTCTCGTTAAAAACCTTCTCAGAAAAAAAAATCAATGGGATAAAAAACTAAACGAAAGGAAAAAGAGTGCAATACATTATAATACTCCCCGCAATTTAGCATATATCTCGAAAAGACACATTCCAATTTTGCGGACCCACTCTTCAAATTTCTTTGGGGCTAATGATTTTGTGAACAAATCAACAGGGTTTGTCACATGACTTTATTTGTTTGACATCAATCATTCCATCTTTCTTAAGGTCATGTGCGGAAAATAGTTTTGGTGTTATATGCTTTTTTCTATCCCCTTTGATGTAATCTCCTTTGATCTAAACTATACATGTCATGTTATCTTCATAAATCATAGTAGAATCACATGTCAAAGATTCCATATCGCATTTACCGAGACGAGTATGGCTATAAGCATATAATAACTTTAGTAATTTGATGGAAAATAAGTATCGGGGTTTTGAGTTATGAGCATATGGTATTTTAAAACCTCCTGGAATTCTCATACATATGTCTGTATCGAGTGAACTGCATTAATATGCAGTCAATACATCCATTAGGCACATTTGTAGCATTTCAAAAACAGACATGCCAATTAAAAATCTTAAAGTAGTATCATCAACCATTGGAAAATATGTCTCATCATAGTTGATTTCTGAGATTTGAGAAAAACTTCGGGCAACAAGTCGGACTTTGTATCTAAAGATTTAATTTTTCTCGCTGTGTTGACACACGAATATCCATTTAAAACCCAGAGGTTTTAAGCCCTGGGCGTTGGACTATTGGTCCAGAAATATTACGTTTTTCAAACGATTTTAATTCTACCTAAATTTATTCATTCCATTTTGACCAATCATGTATATGATGACAATCATCAATAGATTTAGGTTCATTGCCAATGTGTTCATTCATTATATCCGCGAAAATGACATATGAAAATATATAATTAACATCAACATTATTGACGTTTCTATCTTTATCTGTAATGTTTAACTCTTCAAAGGTGATTGAATCCTCTTCTGAAGTATCAATATTATTGATATTATCTTTCAAGTCGATAATTTCAAAATGTTCATTTGCTTCTTGAGAAGGTTGAAGTTATTTGGCATCACACACCACATCTTGATTTTTAAATTTTTGTGGTTTCAAATCTAACCAAGTGGCATACCACGTTTTTTTTACGTTTAACATGCAGATTCATCAGCAAGAGTTCTTTCATTATCCTCTACTTGAATTTTTTTTCGAGAAGGAACATTCATAGTTGGAATATGTGACTTC